GGACTATAAAAATAAATGTTCTTCGAAATTCATTATGGATCTCTTCATAGAACGTTTATCAAGAACCTCGATGTTACATATTTTCTTGTCCATTACATAAGAAGACGCCGTTACACAGATTTTAAACGTCCTTGTTCATTATAACTTAAAGTTATATTATAGTTACTCTGCTAAATCGTAGAACCTATATATGAGAATTGTATAAAATAGGCACATTAGAAATAATGTGTTACATGAGCACCTCGGTGTAAGTAGGTTTCCACTTCAATTTACATGATCTCTTTACAAAATAGTTACCAAATAGTTCATTAATTTATCGGTGCATTAAGGCAACTAGAATTCGAGATGGTACTCGAAACTATCACAAGTGATACAAACGGTTTTATGTTTCATAATTTCAAATGTGGCCCTTTTTCTTCTTCTTTCAAAAATTGCGAAAACTTTTTTCATAACAAAACGTATACAGTAAGAATTATTCAAAATGAAACCTTTTTATGTTAGTATCACAGTATTGTAATTTGTAAATATTTATGATCAATTGTTCCTTGTTTACAAATTGTTTAGACAAATCTTTTTCACTCAAACGTGGATATAATTTGTTATAACAATTCCAATAGGTTTCATTTAAAACATTCTTGTGTATAAAATTTTTATATAGACCGTTACATTCAATTAAAAAACGTTTTGTGTTAAAAATGAAAGAATCGAATACGATGAACCCATACTATTGTTGACGATAGTAATCAGTATATTACATATTACTAATGATATTTTCAGAAACTGTTTGCGAATACATTATATGAAATCAATTTGTGAGGTGTAGAAAACGAATGATGTTAGTGCAAAACTCTGAGTAACTAAGATGTAACGCATATATTTGTGATGATTGTACAAGGTAATCACGATCGTTCACCAGAATACAAAGAAAATGTGAGTAGAGAAATGGTAGTGTGATGTTTATAATAAAAGGTGAATACGACTACTAAGAATGTGCTACTACATGTGTTACCCTTGTGATATTATGTTGTAATAACATATCAAGCTGAACTATTGTACTTATGGATCTTATGCATATATATATCTAGAGGACGTTTGGTTACATATTTACAATGCGTAGCACTAGAATACCGAAAGTATTCTATCACATACTGGAATCGTGAAAATATGTAACTAAATGATAACGTAAAATTAACAAATAGATTAGGTAGGAATCAAACCTCTAGAAATTTGTTCGTTATAAAATTTGTAGGTTTGTGGTTTTTACATTGTTTTCAATTAATTGTAAAAAATTGATTTCAGCTATTGATCATGTCGATAAGTAGATACATGTGTAATCGATACCAATTAATAATCATAGTGCCCAATGTTAACTATAATTACCGTAATTAATATGTTGCACAAAGTGCCATTTCTTTCATTCAATTCCCTATCACATGAGCATGAGCAAATATAGTTACATTTTGATTTATTTACTGCACTTTATGAATATTAATATGTTTATACAGTTAATATCTTTTTACGATACACAGGGAGAAGAAGATAGAAGTCTGAAGAAGTTGAGAAGTGATTATTATACATAAAAATGATACGTTTAAGATGAAAAATTGTAAAATAATACTTGGTTCTAAAAAGAAGTAATTCCAGACGATTGGTCGGCGTTCAGAATCATGGTCGTGAGATCTGATAAAACGTCTCGTGAAACAATAGAAACCTTTAAAAATTTAGATACCAAATAGCAATAGCTTCGTATCAAAATATGAACATGTTACAAAAGTATATGTATAATTTATGTTTCTTTTCCTGTCTTTGAAAGTATCTCAAGTGACTAACAACTATTTCCTTACATTGAAACTAACCAGTAATCGTGATAAATGTAAATCTGAAGATGTATAACTATGAGTTAAAAGCCTGAAGATCATATATTAATTAAAAACCTGAGATTCAACGGTAGAACATAATTCGTATCTTTTTTTTTCTCAATTCTCTATGTCCGATTATACCATGACACTAAAAAATAAAACATCTGTACAATACATAACATTATGAACTGTGGAACATATTATTCTGATAATTAAACGAATACGTATATAATTACCGGTATTATTAATTAATTGCGATTCGATTGCCCCTAAAATGATCTCTGAAAAGATAATAATAGAATGCTAAATGATTTTCATATCAAATTTAACAAAAAAGACGAACAACATTATTATTATTATCATAATCGGCATGGCTAGCACCAGTCAGCCATATATGTAAAATCTTTAAATAGACTTTGTTCTAAATCGCTAAGTGGCCTAGGATCTTTAGGCGGAGTTAATTGCGGCTTCTCGGATGTGAATTCCTCATCGAAATTACTGACATCTTCCACAGAATCCTAAAATGTGAGCATGCCCACGATGTACCAATTAAAACAAATATTTGTTGTACAATTATATTCTGAAAGAAAGATAAAAATCTGATACTAACAATCACTGGAACAAACGGCGGCTTCACGCGTCTCAGGAGTAAATCGTCCCAGGCTATGTGCCTGAAGAATGCTTGTTTTTTAACATCTTCAGCATCTCTTTCACTACTACCCAATCTTCTGTCAGGGTTTTTTCTTAGCAACTATAATGAAATAAGTTGGAAATACTTCTTATATCCCTACCATTAATAATGCTCAACTGAATAGAAAGCAACATAATTACCCTTCGCATTATTGCTATTGCCTCCAAAGAAAGAAATCGTGGATAGCGAACTTCGTCATTCACAATAGAGTCAAATACTTCTTCCTCATCGTCACCAGGGAATGGAGACTAAAAAACACATTGGTTAACAGTAATTAAAAATTTGTTTTTCTGCTCCTAAAAATTCAATTAATAACTGAACTTACCTCGCCAACAAGCATTTCAAATATCAATACACCGAGGCCCCACCAATCTACGGCTCTGGTGTACGAGGTTTCAGTGAGCACCTCAGGTGCCAAGAATTCTGGCGTACCACAGAAGGTTCCTGTTCTATCTCCATAACCCATTCCCTCTTTACACAAACCAAAATCTGCAATCTTCACATATCCCTCTGTATCCAATAATAAATTGTCTAGTTTCAAATCTCTGGAAAATTAACAGATAACCTTGATACTTATAAAATTATTACAAATGAATACAATCGTGATCCGCAGAAGAATTTGTCAAAGGGTACCTGTAAATGATACGACTTTCGTGCAAATATTGCAATCCTAACACAACACAGGCTGAGTAAAAGACTGCCCGTGGCTCCCCAAAGACGTCTGCATGTATGTGCATCATGAGATCTCCGCCAGCTGCATATTCCATCACAAAACACACATGCGCCTATAGAGAATGGAGCTGTTAATCTTTGCTGGAATTATTAAAACACATGTTTTGACTGAGATTGATGTGATTCGTACCTCTGTCTGGAAACAAGCAAAGAGGTTCACTAGGAAGGGGTGACGCGTTGCATTTGCCACTTCAAATATTCTTTTCTCCGACAATAATGACTCAACTTCATCTCTTGCAATAATATCTCCTTTTTTCAATGCTTTAATGGCAAAGTACTCCCCTGTGTTTCTATATTGTGACAAAATCACTTTACCAAAATGTCCACGACCAAGGACCGAGAGTAGCCTAAAGTTCTCTATGGTCATTCCGGTCAATTGCGAGTGTCTTCTTGATTCGTAGGCACTATCTCTGTATTGAGAAGGCTTAGAGGGCATTTCGTACACGACCTATAATTGTTAAATCATTCGTCTCAAATGGAATTACCCTTGACAGTATAACAAATACATGAACATTAATCACTCAGAGATTAATTGGTAGCGTCGTTGTAGTCGTGTTAACAGTTTTATGAATTGCAAAATGTAGGGCGCTAACATTATAGTTTTAACACAATGCATACGTTATTAGTAGACTACGGATGTTTATGTAAACACATTTTAACAAATCTGAAATTGAACAGGAATTTATTTGTTAAAGGTTTCTATAATCAAATACACAAAATACTGTAGTCTGTTTATTAGTGGATTTGATGAACAAACTTTTGAATTATATCTCATCTACCAGAATTCTTAGTAATTGTTAAGAGTACCTAAAACTGTAGTACCATGAAATACTTGCATCGTTGAAGACAGAAATAATGTAACATTACTCGAAGCGTTACAAGTACAGAGTTAAAAGCTTTTATACAGAATACAGACACAGGTACAAGCAGAAATTTGATTGGCATGCTTCCTATGAAGGACCTATTAGCACTGTAAGAGTTTGCAACGATTTGTTAAGGGGTTTCTCCACCTTGTTAGTTTCAAGATTCTATACAATATTAAATATGTTTCCCTGAAAAAACTGGAGCTATAAAAACCTCAATAGGCCAGCTTAGAGAGACCCCTTTATTTAATACAATGAGCCACAATAAATTCAGAAAAGCGATGTTGCATTGAACGTGTAAGTAAGAAAGGAGCAGAGTTACAAGAAGAATAAAGCTGCGTGTAAAGGAGGTATGTACCTCGTCTTCAGGAAACTCGACGACAGGTTGGGGCGAGGGTGTGCGTGGAGAGGGTGGTGCAATCAGCACGGGACGAGGCTCTGTAACAAGAGGCCTCAAATTTGCGCCCTGAGGCCCCCCCTTTTCCTCGTTGTGCAGGAAATCAAACTCCCTTAATGCACTCTGCAACTACATTACTATCTGCTTAACTCCGAGGAACTAGATTTTAATTACCAATTTACTTTGCGCTGTAGCACGTTAAATTTCGAACAAAGTGTATTCCAAAAGGGCAAATATTCAAATTTACATCACATTTATAATAAACTTGATTACTGAAGGGAGTTTGTTGTAATTCTATTTAAAAGAACGTTACACATTGCGACGTTTCAACGTTCCCGATTACATTGGTGCTGAACTTTGCAAAAACAGCTATGCGCAGAAAAGCTAGCGATAAAACAGAATAAAAATTAAAAAAAAATATACATGTAAAAATACATTAACATTTGTACGCTTGAAGCATCTAACAGTACGCTGGTCCGCAATACTTGGCGTTCTAATATAAATCTTCATGTATAAATATGCTATGTTCGTTGCATTTTCAAAGCGGCACATGTGAATTGTAAATACTAGTATACCTTGCGCAGTCGAAAGTACATAATATGTCCTAACATGCCTTGTCAAAGTATATACACAAACGTTAGAAAGTATACGGCGTCAACTGGATACATTGTATGTACGTGTTCTACATGATTTTTCACCCATAACCAGTGTACCAAAACCCTAAACCTTTCAAGTAACAGAAAATACTAGGAAACTTTTAAATACTTTTATAAAACAATGGATCCTCAATATACTACGTCTTTGTTCAAATATACTTTTCCTCGGCTGATCATTTCGATAGTAATTACGCTAAAAAAATATATAAATGATAATGATATATATTTCTCTCGACATACCTCTTGATCTAATTTGGGTGGCGGTGGCGGGGCTGGCAACGAGGGTTTCTTGGTGATCGTAGGAGGAGGTGGTGGAGGATGTTCCGGAGGTCGTGGCAGTGTGGGACTACTGCTGGATGCTGACAGTCCTAGAGGTCTAGCTCCTCCGAGTCCTCCCTTGTCTGGGTCGGGCAGCTCCCCAGGTGTTTCAGGCTTATCCTCCAAGGATGTATCGAAAACTAGCTGCAAAGGTTGTGGTCCTAAAAGATAGAAGGTCATTTAATGTCATCTCATGCCGATGCATCAAATACACAACAGGGCCTGTATAACTACCTGATGGCGGACTCTCAGAGTTCCTCGTATTATGTAGCGAAGGAGCTGATCGTTTCAGCAATCTGCCCCAAGTGGCAACGTTGATGTTCATCTGATTAGCTCTTGGGAAGTTCTTCACTTGCTGTTTGAAGATCTTACGCTGGCGTTGCAGCTTTGGCTTCCTTGAGATCATCGGGTTCAGGAATTTAATCTCAGCGAACAAAAGTCCTTGCGGTTCCAACTGAAGGGCCATTCCATGTCTAACATCATCGATGAACTCCTCGAGACGCAGGAACTTCACTGCGCAAAGGGATCTCCAATCTTTCCAGTAAATGCCTATCTCAAGCTCTCTTGATTTATCTAGTTCAATGGAAAACCTGAAGAGATGGTTCATTTACACAGGCTGATACATCTAAAGAGTATCTCTTTGAATAAAATTGTGTAATGAAGTATACCTCTGATCCCAAGCCTGCTGGGAACACGGTCTCCAACTAGTTTGTGCTACTGTTTGGTTGTCCAGCTTAATAACTGCCATAATATCATCTGTAAGAAACACAAGCATTAGTTCACAGTTGAAATGAAAAAAAGTATATGGATACTCACTACTTGTTTCATCCTTAACGCTGTACGATTTGCTTGAGCTACGCCCTGTGACTCCCTTGACAAAGCTGCGCAGGTCTGGACTCGCTGGATGCTCCCGTCTGGTACGCCCAGGCACTTCTTCCGCCAAGTCTTGACACCCCATTAATCTAACCTGATGAGTCAATCGTATATCAAATTATGTTGTATCACCGACGAATGTGTTACAATTGCATGGTAGTTTCTCTTACCTCTAACTGTCCTGTAACAGCTGCACATCTTGACACCGAAGCGGGCACAGTGGCTCTGCCCTCTAGAGGACCACGGAAAGGTTGCAAAGAAGTATAAGTCACCGGGACAGGGCTGGCTGACTGCACGCTATCTAACTCTCGCTTCAACTGAGCAGCAGTACTGCTATCAGGCGGTAGTTCCTGTCTTCTAAGTTCAAGGGATAATCTCAATAGGTCCAGTTTTCTACTTGATTCCGCGAGACTTGCCTGAGCCTGAAGAAATTCAAAATGGAATATAGAGAAGGTACTTAAGGACGACCAGGATTTAATGGCGAGGAGGAGACATATGACAAAACACCGTTACTAATATAACCAATATTTATTAACAGCATGAATAACGTAGACAATCGTATGTACCAGTAGGCTTACATAAATGCTTGATACTCAGCAGAATGTTCTGGCAAAATCTTTGTAACAGTTATAACTTACAAAAAGGACTATGCGTATGGAATATCATATAGTAATCAATAAATATCATTTAAACACACGCTTGCAACACGACCTTACATAATCCTAATCTTCTTAGGAAATTTTATTTTCGCAGAAGTATACGTATAACACTGCCCAACATGTATTTTAATTTTATGTTACGGTAATTAATATCGTTTCACTCCATCAGTTTTCGAGAAATATAATTTTTAAGTCTCTCTTAAGAATTAAACATACTGGAGGAAAGCATCGACTGAACATTGAAACATTGGACAGAGCAATTAAACAGAAGAACAGTGATGAAAACACGTCAGTGAGATTGCAGCCTCTCACGATCCACAGTTCTTGGGTATCGATCGAACAATTTTCTTCTCGTTCTGCAACCGAAAGCCGGTTTGTCGTTCGAATTCGCTGATGGACCCAGACCGGTCCCTTGAGTTCAGCTCCTCAAAGTATCTTCTACAGTGGTCGCAGGAGCAGTTGGGGTTCTTGGAGGGTCCGATGTGATGTCCAGGCTTGCGGAAGGCATTCACAACTCTTCCAAATATAGAAGCTTTGATAATATGATCGGTCCTTTCACCCTGAGGAGTCATGAAAGGGGACGTGACCCTCGAGGGCATCTTCGATGGAAGCGGGGAAGGGCTCTTGGACTCGAAGGTTCTGACTTGATCGCGCAAACTATGAGGCTGCGGAATGCTATCGCTTCTGGTGGTGGAATCAGACAGATCCTGCTGCGACTGTTTGCGAGAAGGTTCATCCTCCTTCGCAGTAGGCGCGATACTGCTTCCTACGACCTCTTTACTATTTCTTCTAGTATTAGTAGCCATCTTCACCATCTTCTGGCTCTCCTCGCTGGAAACAAAGCTCCATCCAACCGTACCACTCTCGTCGGACTCTTCTCCACTGTCGGCCGAGGACCACCCAGCTTCGTGCTTCTCCATGTAGTCTTTCATCTTCTTGCCCTGCGACAGATACTTCTGGGAAGCTATAGCTCTGCGTTTCTCCTCAGATTTAGCCCAGGTCTCTTCCATGCGGCGGATCCTCTCCCGATCGCTGGAGCTAGCATATTCAAAGCTGTCGCAGGGCGTCAGGCCTGATCTTGAGGCAACCAACGACTCTATGTCCGAGAAGGTGTCCTTGCAACTGGTGGCCGCGGCAGAGTCATACTCAAAAGGGAACCCGACGTTCGAAGAATCCGCCGACCAGGGTACAGAGTCGAGGTCCCTCAACGCGCTGTAAGAGCTGAACTGAGAAGGGTACAGCGAGCTGAGCATGTCGTCGCTGTCGTAACCCTTCGAACTAGCTATCGAAGGCATCCTCATAGGCGCGTGCTTGAAACTGTCGCATTTTCGTTCCGTTGCTCGCTTCAGGAACGCCTTCTCGTCCTGAAATCCCCTAGGCAGCACCGTGCTCGGTACCTGAGTGTGCGTCACTCTCACGTCAGGGTTCTCGAAGACGGTCGACGGCGTGTCTCGCTCATTGTCCGACGTCTCGGAGTTGTCGTCGTCCTCGGTGCCGGTGCAGTAGACGTCGATGTGAACGGTGCGAGATTTTCGTCTGGAGCTGTCGTCCTTCGCCGACGAGTCCGACTTCTCCGAATCCGCGGATGGTCCAAGGCTTGCGGTCTCGGAGGCTGCGCTCGGCGATTCGCTCTCTTGCTAAAATGAAACCAGCAAAGCAGTGATCAATGATCCACAAAAGTTACGCCTCACCTCAAAACCTTCTCACCTTCTTCTTCTTCTGCTCGTCGAACGGAAGCAGTCCAGTGGCCGCCTTCCTCCTGACCTTGCTCTTGCCGAACACCGTCGACGATGACTCCTTGCATTCTATATCCGTGGTCTGCGACGCGGCGTCCTTGCTAACAGCGATCGTCCGAGTGGCAACCTTATTATCCCTGCTCAACTGAGCGGTCGTCGTACCGCTGGCACTCTCCTCTTCCTCCACTTCCGGCACCGTGGTGAACTGTCTGGAGAACACGTGCTGGCTAGAATGATGTCTCCAGGAGTGATCGTACGAATGTTTAGCGGACTCGCTGGTTGCGATCTTGCTGGAGGTCTCCTTCGCGGATCCATCGGCGACGTCGACAGCAGACAGAACGATGCTGCAGGTGCTTTTGCATCTTCGGTTGTACTGTTGCGAGGGTCGACGAGTCGGCAGGCTAGAGTAGGTCTGCGGGGAGTACTGTTCGCTGTTGTACCCCGAGTCCGGCACTCCTCTTCCTCTGGAGGAGGAAGATTCCTCGTTACCGGAAGATCCTGACCTTGGAATCGTGTAGAAACCACTCGGACTCGGCCTGGGCGGGGGCGTCGAGGTGAAGAGGATGTTTCCTCTCTGGAAGCCGAAGGAGCTGGAGGACGCCGATGGGACCGATTGCGACGACGTGGAAGCAGCCACCACGGACGATGGAGGCGACTGACTGGTGCTCCATCGGTACACCATGCGAACACCGCCGGAGTCCGTGACGCTCGAGGACACCGTCACCGGAGGCGTCTCGCCTGACTCCGAGGTCGTCGGCGTGCTGTGTCGGATCGTGACCTCCGCACGCACCAACCACGGCGGCGGTTGCGTGTTACCAGGCTCGCCCTGACGGCCGTACATGTCGCCGGTGCTTCTTCAGTCTCCTCCAGGCCGTTACCCACCGCAAAACATCATCGACACGGCCGTTCAAGCGGCCGCCACGCGAGCACGCATGCCGCCGGAAACGCTTCCCTGCTCGCGCCGCGAACTCTACACCCGGCGACGGGGATACCTTGATCATCGATTCGACCTCCGCGGCTTCGAACACTCGGAAACCTTTCTCTGGGTTGCTTCTGTAAGCTGCTTATCCGAGGATCTTGCCTGATCGATCTCTCCAGCGAGCGACGGTACACGAAGACGCTCGCCCGATGCCTGCTCCAAGATGCAGCCAGTGTCTCCGAATAGAAAAGGTTCGTCGATCCTTTCGACTTTCGTCTCTTAACAATTTATCGCTGTTCTGCCTTCGATCGTTGCTCCTCGAGGGGACGAATCGCAGACGAAGTGCTACGTGACGATTTTGTCTCGACGATGTCTTCGAAACAATAACATTTATTTGGTCCTCGTTTTATTTCTTCGCGAATTCTGGCACGTGTCTCGCGGAAGAATTCACGGTAGAAATAGAATTCGTCTTAACAATCGTTCATAGCTGTCGTCTACAGTCTTTCGACGTCTCTCGATTACGAGAGCTTATCCTCGCTACGTAAAGATCTACAAACCGCAGAACAATGCTACGATATCTTGGCAGAATGTCACCGTCGGGTTAAATCCCGAACTCGTCTTTTGTCCAGCGACTTGTGTTATTACACCCTCGTACATCGATCTACGATCTTCAGGAAGCTAGAAATACATTCTTTCGGCAGGTATATATTTCTCAATACGGCGTGGCTTTAAATAGATCTTCCAAGATCCTCGTGTACACTTCTCGTTTCTCACGGTGAGACAGTTGCGACATTTATCTGTCTCGCATATCAAATTTGATCTCGTCTATGCGAGCAACGGCAACGGTTCCCGAGGACCACAGTACTCGAAACAATCCTCGAGTGAAAACGATCAGACGTTATCCGCGGAAGATCGTTTCACAATCTTTCACCGGGCACAGATATTACGCTTCAGAAGAAGAAGAAAAATCGCGACCGGTGGTGGACATCTTGTTTATGAATCCTCGTTTCACAAGACCGCCGACACAAGATCCGCGCGCGTTTCCACACCAGGGAAACCCTGATCGTACAGTTTTCTTGCGTCAGTATCTGTTGCACCATCGATCGAATCCGCGAGTCATCGGTGTCGCTTCCCGAGGAATGGCACCGGCTGAACGGCATAAATCACGGATCCCGAATCGGCCAGGAATTTTTATCTCTGATTAACGATCGTGGGACGCGCGGCACTCGGACCTGCGATTACACGAAGAAGCACACGCGGATGGAATTTCTTTCGTCCACGGATCGATCGCAATAAACCGGCGCGATTTCTGTCCCACGGCGGCCAAACTTTCGAATCTCCCGGCGGGGTCTTATCGCGGACTAGTTCCGCGGGGCGATATTATTTTCGGACGGTCTCTTTCACAAATCCGCGGCCACGTTGCACGGTTGTTCGCGGAAAGTCGGCGATTCGGCGCGATATTGCGTCTCCGCGATCTATTTTCAGAACGGCCACAGTGATCGACCGCGCTCGGCTCTCTCTCTCTTTCTTTTTCTCGGCACCGTCGTCGTGTCGCCGTCGGGAGAAACAAAAAATGGTAAAACACTTGCCGCGACAAAAACCACTTTCTGCCGAATAAATAAAAATGCGGCGGCTCGGCGAACCGATCGTCGGACACCGTTCGCCAAATAATATTTACGTTGATTCCGCAGCGGCAGCGGTTTCCGCGGATCGGTTACCGGTTTTCGGTGACAAACGGCGCGCGTCGGGCCGCGGTATAATTAGCACGCGCATAAATCCGGAGCAACGCGCGGCGACGACGGCGCCGAATATGCCTGGAACCAGATGATACCCTCGCGTCGGTATCGACCACCTTGATCATTACGATCTATATAGTAAACCAGTCTAAGGTTAAATGCACGTTGCCGAGGATCCTAATTCCCGTTCCGTTCTTCTACGTTCCCGTCGATCTTCGGAAATTCGACGACGTTGTTTTAGAATCTTCGAGAGATCTTGAAGAGTCTTAGATCCAAGTGTGTCCACAGGTATCCTCTCGATGTCTTCGAGACGTCAGTCTTCTTGGTATGGAGACGGTGAAAAAGACCGGATGAAAGACAGAGATAGGAAGAGATAGGAAGAGAGAGAGAGAGAGAGAGAGAGAGAGAGAGAAAGAGAGAGAGAGGAAGAGAGAGAGAGGGATGGTCAGTCTTCTTGAGGAATCAGGTCATCGTTCCGAGGATGATCTATCCGCGGGCACCGGCGAAGTTTCCAGGAAGATCCTCCGTCAGGGCACACGCGTTTCCCCTGATCTCGGTCCGCGGTTGATTGGCACACATGTCGTTGGTTTATCGTGTTGCCTACGACTGGGTTGCGCCAGCTCCCCTCGAGAGGTGGCAACTAAGCCCGACCCGAAAAGGCGTCATAGAAGGCGACGGGGTAGCGGGGATTAGCCGCTATTTCGGGAACGGTGCGTGTACGCCAGCGACGCGCACGTCGAGACGTAGACGACTACGTCGAGCACCGTTTCCGTGGCTCGGAGTCTCTCAGCGGACGGTTCTCTTGGACCGTCGGTTTTCAGCTTCGCGCAACTGTGTGTGTCTTCGTTTTAGAGAACCTTGCGCCATCGTTCTTTTGACGTCCTTTCGACGTAGATCGCGTTCTTTGTAATCGTCATCGTAATAGACTTTGATCGAATACGCTTTTAGGGTATGCAGTTTTATGGTGCTAAGTTCTGATATCAGTTATGATATCATATTTAATCTTCTTTCTCTTCTACAGAATTATTTAAGGTCTTTATGATTTGTAATACAGGTTATAATATTCTCATATAATATTATTATATTCTTTGTAATTCTTAGCTGGTTGGTTGTCGCTTTCCTCATCGTAATAGACTTTGACCAAATATTTTAGAATATGCAGTTTTATAGTGCTAAGTTCTGATATCAGTTATGATATCATATTTAAT